AGCTACTCAGGAGGCTGAGGTGGGAGGATTGCTTGAACCCAGGAGGTAGAGGCTGCAGTGAGCTGAGATCGCGCCACTGCACTGCAGCCAGGGAGACAGAGATCCTATCTAAACAAACAAACAAACAAACAAACCAACCAACCAACCCAACCAACCATTTTTCTGGGAGGAAGTTAGTCAGCTATAGGAAATGGCTGAAAGTTCTATCTATTTGTGAACTAGAGCTAGACAGAGTGACTCTGGATTTGTCTGTTTGTTTATTCAGGGTGCAAAGTGGTTTTGCTTTTGTTTTTCTTTTTCTGGCAGGGCGATGTTATGTACGTGCCTAATGATCATTGCAGCAGAGAAAAGTGTCATTCTAGTTTTTTCAAGTCTGATAATAATGCTAATAACAATGACAACTATTCCTTGTTAAAGAACTTCTGTGCGCCAGGTCCTGCTTAAGGTGTTTTCATATACAGGATGTCCGTAAAATCCCTGTGCAGGGTGAATTTGTTATTTCTTCATAAGAGAGAATGAATTTGAAAAATGCCACAGAGGGGGAATCCTCTCAAGGAATATTTAACTTTCATATATCTATGGCCATTGTTTTAGTTAAAAAACACGGCATGCCCAAAGCCATCTCATGGCTGAGAAATAAAAGTGATAATTCATGAATCCTTAATAATTTTATTGAAACATTGAATATATTTCCTCTTTGTTTTCATAAGTTGCTTAACTTAAATAGAAATTAATGTATCAAAAACTAACACTGCAAAAATATTTATGGACACCCTTTAAATTCTGAAATTTCTTTATTATTATCCCCATTTTAGAGAGGGGGAAACTGAGGCTCAGGGAGGCAGAGTCACCTGCCCAAGGTCACCCAGCTAAGAGGGGGCAGAAGCAAGATTCGAGTGCAGTGCACCAAGGAGCAGCCCAGTTCAGAAAGAAGGAAGGGGCTGGGGCATCAGGCAGAAGAAGCACATGGGGGTGGCGGTGCCAGGCAAGAGAGCAGAGCAAGTCTTTAGAGCCCCTGGGTGGGACTAGGACAGTGGAGGGTGGAGGGGCGTAGTCCAGGGCCACTAGCTTCAGCTCAGCTTCCTTGTGCTGCCTAAAGAGGAGTGACCACCAACCGGGCACTGTGGCTCATGCCTGTAATCCCAGCACTTTGGGAGGCTGAGGTGAGCAGATTATTGAGGTCAGGAGTTCGAGACTAGCCTGGCTGACATGGTCTTGAACCATAGTGGTCTACTAAAAATACAAAAAAATTAGCTGAGCATGGTGGCACGGGCCTGTAGTCCCAGCTACTTGGGAGGCTGAGGCAGGATAATTGCTTGAACTGGGGAGGCGGAGCTTGCAGTGAGTGGAGATTGTACCACTGCACTCCAGCCTTGGCGACACAGCGAGACTCCATCTCAAAAGAAAAGAAGAGTGACCACCTAGAGTCAGGGTGGACTTCTATCACCACAGATGTGGGCACTGGGGCTGGGTGCTCCCCTATGGGAAGATGCCTTACAAAGAGAGGATTCTGATGTTAGAATTGAGGGCTTAGGCTTGACTTGAAGTTCAGGGACTGAAGACAAGAGGTTTGTGGCCAAAAGAACAGGCAGCATGGTCCTTCCTTATCCAACAGTTGCTCCCTGAAGCTTTTTCTGAGCCAGCCCCATGCTGGGTGCCATGCACAGGGACACAGGAGTGGGCAGAGGCAGGCCCCTGCCACTGTGACCCGGGAGGATGGCAGATGTGGAAACCTCCTTGAGAGAGGGAAGTAGGAGGTGGAGGTTGGGGGGGATCATCTGGGTTGAGTACGGAGGGGTCCGCAGCCCTCCCCAGTTGGAGGAAGAATGGCATGAGCAAAGGCTCGAGGCCTGCTGGGGGGCTGCATCTGCATGTGTGTTGGGGGAGGTTGGTAAGATGCTCCTCTGGGGAGCACAGTGGCAAGAGAAGGAGGCCTTAGAAACCAAGGCCAGAATGTGAAGGGCCTTGCAAGCTGGGGAAGGGGATATGGACTCTGTCCTGGAGAGAGGGAGGGAGACCGTGGAGGCTGCCAGACTGGGCTGTGAACAGGTCAGAGCCCTGCAGCTTCAGCCGTGCCGAGGCCTGGCGGGGAGAGGCTGAGGCTGGGAGTCCCGGGGGAGGCTGGGCACTTGTTGCACTTGCATGGGAGGAGGCCAGAGAGGCAGCTTGCTGGTCGAGAGGGCTTGCCTGGTTCCTGAGGAAGGACCCAAATCCACTGGAGGACTGTTGGTCAGTCAGTCAGTCAGCAAACCCTCACGAAATACACTCTGGGCACGGAAGTCACTGATGATGTGGAACCTATTTCTCTTGTCAATGATTGGCTTCAGAGAGAAAGAACTTGCTTGCCTTCATTCAGTCTGTGTCTATTTATGGAATCCCCTCTGTGCTGAGCCCATGTCAGGCGCTGGGGTGATGGTAGGGAATGAGCCCAAGGGAGTTCCTCTGAAGGAACACAGTGACCAGACATGGAGAAAATAAGTTCCCATGCAGAGACTTCTGGGAAGCCGATGGCTTTGTTGCCTGTGAGGTGGGCCGCAGGGAGCCTGACCTGGTCTAGGGGGTCAGGGAAGGCTGCCCTGATGAAGGGACTTTTATGCTGAGAACAGGAGTTGGGTTTTAGCCAAGTGTTAGCTGAGGGACAGGTGTTTCTGGTAGAGGGAACAGCTTGGATGAAGGATTGGAGGTGGGAAAGGCCTCAGTGCTGGAGGAGCTAGCGCAAGGCCACTGTGGCTGGGTTTCAGGGCAAGGGGAGAAGGGGTTGTGGGGTTTAAGACAAAGGCAGCGTGAGTCCTGGGGACCCTTAGGGGTTAGGTGACGGGGAGCCTAACTAAACGAATTCCCCAGCTCTAGAGGGAATGAGGATGGGGTGAAGTGAAGAGGATGCTGGCCTCAGGCAGAATTGGTCCAGATGACCCTTAAGGTCCTTCCACTGTAGAGACAGGGTGCAGCGGCCTGGGGTGGGATCCTGAAACGTGACACCCAGAAATGTGCAGGTAGAACAGGGGTGCTCAGAACTGCATCAGCTCAGCTTCTGTTGGCACAGCTATTGTGGAAGGCCAGACCCTGGGCCTTGATCCTGAGACTGGGGCCCGTCCCTGCCCTCGGGATTCCCCAGCTAGCAGAGAAGTGTGGGCAGCCTCGAGGGTCCAGTGGGGTTGGCTCTGTGGTGAGGAATGTGCTCTGGAAGCCTGTGGGGTGAGCAGTATGCTCGGGAGATTCCGCAGAGCCCCATTCGCCAACATACCTAGAAGGATGAGCTGACATTTACCCGGCCAAAGAGCCGGGGAGGTCCCAGTGCTGAGGATGCAGACATAGCAGAGGTGTGTGGAGACTTATCAGACACGGCTGGCAGGGAAGAGTCTTTCTCTGACCAGGACATAGGGCGCGTACGAGCAGGGAGGGGACGCTGGACCACCTGATGAAGGCTTGAATGACATATAAGGAATTTGGACTTTGTCAATGTTTATAATGGCAGCCAATGGGCTTATTGGTAGCAGGGAATGTTTCTTACTCAACCCTGTGTCCCTGAGTCTAGCACTGGGCCTGGCCAGAGGGGCTTTAGTTTCTTTGATGAATTTGTTGATGGGCTGATGGCAAACCCAGTCAGTGAGAGGGGCTGGGGCCTTGGAAGGAAGGAGTGGACACCCTTTTGGTAAAATCTGGATATTCCCCTCCACTTTTGTTCCTCAACAAATTAGGCAAACAAGGTTCAGGCCCAGCTGGCATTTCATTGCCCACCTGCTTGGTACAGCGGATTTGCCCAAATAGATGCTTGAAGACACACCCAGGGAGATGGTGCAAAGGCATGAGTGCAGAAAGCAGGGAAGCCCACTATTAGTGCATGCCAGGCTGCTGAGCTCCATTTGTGGACATCATAGCCCAGTCCACAGCCCCATCCTCACCTGGGCTGTTGGGCAGGTATAGGGTCATCAGCTCTCAAGTCACTGCCCCAGTGTCACCTTCCCCATGAGGCCCTTACCCCCATTTAAAACTGTACCCCTTCTTCCCGGCATTCATGGTCCCCCCATCTTGTTGTTTTCCCCACAGAACTTACTGCTTTCTACATGTGATTTACTTGTTTATTTCACACTTGTTGCTTATTTCCTCCAGGCAGTAGCTTTTGTCTGTTTTGTTCATGATACATTCCAAATACCTAGCACGGTGCCTGGGGCATGGGTACCCAATGTGATGAATGTGAATGAATGAGTAATGATAACTGGCAAACGTTGAGTGCTTACTTTGTAGCAACACTAGGCTAAACCCTTTACATGCATTATCTGATGTTATCTTCACAAAGCCCGATGAGATAGGGACTGTATTTTTATACCCATTTTGCAGATGAGGAAACTGATGCTCAGTGGTTTGTCCAAGGTCACCCAGTTGGTAAACAGCCAGGATGAGAACCCAGGAGTGGCAGGGACAGAAGGAACTCCCAGGAAGGACACAGAGGGGCTGAGCTTCAGGGCCGTGCTGTCCCACATTCTCCCATTTACTGGGGTGACCATGTAGCTGTCACGGACATGTGCCTGACATAGGGTAGGGACAGGAAATAAGTGTCTGGGACCAATTAGAGGGAGATGTCTCCTTCTTCTTAGGGAAGGAGGCTGGGTGGGCAGGGAAGGTCCCGACAAAGCCGTGCATCTGTGTTCTTTGCAATGTGTGGTCTGTAGTGTGGGGTTTTTGAAAGAGAGGGGCAGTCAAATCAGGCCCCCTCCAATGCCTGCACTGGGTTGCTACCAGGGCTTTAGTGGTGGGCTGGGGCCAGCAGGGGCCTGTGGGAAGCGGGAGGCTCTGGTCAGACTGGCAGTGGAGGGCAGAGAATGAAGGAGGAGCCATAGCCGCTGAAGTCTCCAGCTCTTGCCTGGGCTCACTCTTGGTCCTTGGGGAGCATGGGCAGTGTAGGGACTGAGAGGCTTAGGGGCCAGAGTAAGGACTTGGGGACTGGAACGGTCTTGGGGTGTGTGTCAGGGACTTCGACCTTACTGGGCTGCCCATTGCAGAATCCACACAGGCGACAGACCCTACAAGTGCCCACATCCTGGCTGTGAGAAGGCTTTCACTCAGCTCTCCAACCTCCAGGTGAGTGCCTGCCTGCCTCCTGCCCACCAGGTGGCTTGGTGCCCCCGCCACCCCCACAAGGGAGCGTGGGAAGGGGGTGGGGTAGGGGAGCCCTGTTCCTCTCCTGACCCCCTGCTGTGCCCCCACAGTCTCACCAGCGCCAGCACAACAAGGACAAGCCCTACAAGTGTCCCAACTGCTACCGGGCCTACTCGGACTCCGCCTCCCTGCAGATCCACCTCTCGGCCCATGCCATCAAGCACGCCAAGGCCTACTGCTGCAGCATGTGTGGGCGGGCCTACACCTCGGTGAGTGCCAGTCAGCCTGTGCCCTGCCCCAGGGGAGCCACTTCCTCTTCCAGGCCTCAGCTGCTTCCCCCTCTTTAGATCTGTGCCGACTCTTCCCATTTTCCAGACAAAGAAATGGAGACCTAGAGAAGGGAAGTGACTCCCTGAGATCACAGGGAAGAGTAGAACCAGGGCTTTTGCTTCCCACTTCTGGTTTCAGCTACCCCAGGCCAAGCCCCTAGCCTTCTGCTTACCTTTAGCCTGAGTCTCCAAGGCCCTGGAACACTCACGGCAGTGGCAGGAGGCTTTTCACCTGTTCTGCAGAGCTAGAGAGAGAGAAGGGCCTTCCTGTCACCCAGGAAGCTGCAACCACCATTACGGCCACAAGGTGGCGCAGTGACGTCCACAGCCACCCTCATCTCAGGAAAGGCCTGAGCCGCCCAGAAAGCTCAGAGCATTCGGCCCCCATCCCTGGGTGGGAATTTCCCCAAACGAGGGCCTTTCGGCACCCAGAACTACCATTCACCCCCAGGCAAGTCGCTTGAGTGTGGGCTTCTGGTCGATTTAATATTCTAGTTAACAGACCCCATATCCCCAACATAGAGGTCACTGAGCCTCAGTTTCCTCATCCGTCAAATGGATGAACTCACAGGGCTGTTGGCTGGCACAGTGGTGCCAAATCAACCTGAGCTAGTACCATTATTTATTCACTCAGTCTTTACTAAACACTTCTGCCTGGTGCTTGGGCATTGGGATGATGAGCCAGACAGACCTATTTTTTGCCCCCGGGGAAGTTAAGAACTACTGTTGGAGACAAGTATTAAACAAGTGCACACGTAATTGTTTGATGGGAAATTGTGTAACTGCTGTAAAGCAGAGCCTCTCGGCCCTAGTCCGGATGGGCATTTGGGCCGGACCTTTCCACTGTAGGCGCTGGCCTGCGCGTGGCAGGGCTCTGAGCAGCATTCCAGGCCTCCACCCACTAGATGCCAGTAGCAACCCCTCCCCAAGTGGTGACAGCCACAGAATGTCTCCAGGGAGGACACAGAGGGGCTGAGCTGCAGGGCCATGCTGTCCTGCATTCTGGAGTGCTGCATCCTGGGGGACAGCATGGCCCTGAAACTCTGCCCCTCTGTGTCCTCCCTGAGAACTCCTTCTGTCCCTGCCACTCCTGTGTTCTCATCCTGGCTCTTTGTCCCTGGGGGGGAAAATCGCCTCCATTGAGAACCACTGTGATAAAAGTGTGTTTTGAAAGACAGCAGGGAGGACTCAATGGAGCTGGGAAGGGGGGTGAGTCCAGATTGACCACCTGGGGGAGTACCACTTAGATGAAGCCTTGAAGGATAATTGGATGAGGAGGAGAAAGAGGGGAAAGAAGCTTCCATGCCCTCAGAGGGGAACACTGAGTGCAAACCCCCTGAGGTGGAACAAACTTGGCATGTTACAAGAACTCAAAGGAAATTAGGTCAGTTGGGGCCTTGGGGCTCTGTTAGGAAAGTCTGGATATTTTTTGAGGTGAAATGGGAAGCCACAGGGAGGGGACTGTCAGGGAGGTTGGTTTGTTTGTTTGTTTTTTGGTATATTTTAGAGACGGGGTCTTGCTATGTTGCCCAGTCTGGAATCAAAATCCTGGGCTCAAGGAATCTTCCTGCTTCAACCTCCAGAATAACTGGGGCTACAGGTTGTGCCACTGTGCCTGGCAGGGAAGGTATTTTTGCAAGGTCACTCTGGCTGGAGGGAGTTCATGGATTGTAGGTGGGGTCGTTGGCAGTACTTGTCAGGTGCCAGTTAGGGCTGCCACTTGCTAAGTGCTGAGTCTGTAACATGTATTCTTCCCTGAAGTTCAAAGGGCAGAGGAGGATCAAGAGGCAAAGAGGACAGAATCTGCAGGGAAAAGGGCTCCAAAGGGGTGAGCGGGAGCCCCTGCTTGGCTAGCTGATCTCCAGTCAGTCCCTGCCTCTCTCCAATGCTCAAGTTTTCCATAACCTCCTGTACCATCAACCAATCCTGCCTCATCCATACTCCTATTTTTTGAAGTACAATCCAGACATCATACTATTTCTAAAAATTTCACTTTGTCTCTAATGATAAAGACTCCTTTTTTGAGCATATCCACAATACCTTTGGAATACCAAAAAGTAATTAACCAAAGTCCTTATCATCAAATACTCAAACACCCATTCAGCACTGACATTTTCATTTGTCTCATGAATGCCATGATTGGGTATATTTACATTATTATTATTTTTTTAAATCGAGATGGAGTCTCGCTCTATCCCCAGGCTGGAGTACAGTGGCGCAGTCTCGGCTCACTGCAACATCTGCCTCTCAGGTTCAAGCGATTCTCCTGCCTCAGCCTCCCGAGTAGCTAGGAATATAGGCGCATGCTACCACGCCCGGCTATGCTTTTGTATTTTTAGTAGAGACAGGATTTCACCATGTTGGCCAGGCTGGTCTCGAACTCCTGACCTCAGATGATCCACCCGCTTTGGTCTCCCAAAGTGCTGGGATTATAAGCATGAGCCACCGCGCCCGGCCTACATTATTCTTTTTAGATCAAGATCCAAATAAGATTCCTACATCATAGTGGGCCAGTATATCTTTTAATCTCTAGGTCCCCTTACCCCCACTTTTTTTTGTTATTCAACTGAAGAATAGTTTCCTAGCTAGGAATTTGCGGGTTGCTTCCCTCTGGTATTGGATAGCGTGTTGCCACCACATTTGAGGGCTTCCTCTGCTGGGTTCTGAGCATATTGAGGTCTGAAGTCAAGGAGCGGCAGGTGGGAGTATCGCCTCTGCTTCTGGCAAAGGCAGTTGGAAGGACGTGGCTTAGTGTGAGAGCTTCTGGGCCTGCAGTGAGCCCTGGGTCACAGCCTCACCTGCCCAGTCCTGGTGCCTTAGGTCAGATCCAGCAGAGCCAGTGGAGGACATGATAGTACCCACCTGTAGTCCCAGCTACTCGGAGCGCTGAGGTGGGAGAACTGCTTGAGCCCAGGAGGTTGAGGCTGCAGTGAGCTGTGATTGTGCCACAGCATTCCAGCCTGGGCGACACAGTGAGACCTTAAAAAAAGAAAAGGAAGGAAAGGAAATGTAGAGACTAGGGCAGGAGTGGACCTTCAACCCTTACTCCATGCTAAGGGCTTGATCTCTGTCACCAGAGCAACCTGTTGAGGTTGTTCCTCCCCCATGCCTGCTTACAGAGGAGGAAACAGGCTCAGAGAGACACGATGACTTGTCCAAGTTCTCACCACTAAGAAACAGCAGAGCTAGGCTCATGCCCAGTCCTGCTGCCTGACTGTCACTGGGATCACCAGCCAGATGCAGGCACTGTGCTCCACTGGGCCGACAGGGCTGAGGTTCAGCCAGTATACCCAGCTACAGCCCGGTGGCAAGGGGCTGGGGACCTGGCCCTGGGGAGCCACAGGTGGGCACTGCTGAGGGGCGAACTCTCCAGCCAGCACTCACCCTTGGCAGCAGTGCAGTGTCTCTAGAACCAATGGCCGATGCCCGACTGACCCTGCGAAGCTGTGGCTGTCCTCCACCCTCTGGACCGCCTACCAAGAGCCCTCCAGTGGCTGCTGGTGGGAACTGCAGCCTCTTCTCCCTCCCTTGCTGGTGGTTCCCTGTTCTGAATCTCACCCCTGCCCACAGGAGACCTACCTGATGAAGCACATGTCCAAACACACGGTGGTGGAGCACCTGGTGAGCCATCACTCACCCCAGAGGACGGAGTCCCCCGGCATCCCGGTGCGAATCTCTCTCATCTGAGCCCACTGGAGGCGCCGCCCCACCCGGCCCACTGGCAGACACAGACCCAGGCAGCACCAGGCCCCAGCTCCCTCCAGGGGCCCTCCAGGAACCACCAGGCTCTCTCACCACCTTCCCAACCTTCCAGAAAGCTTGGTCCGCAGAAGTCCTGCCTGGTCCAGTCCAGGGGCGGCCAGGCCAACTGCAAGATTCTGGACTGTTTTGGTGGCATCCAAAGACGATCTCAGAGCACTTTGAACCTCTCTGTTGAGTTTTCTTTTTGTTCCCCACCCTTCACTTGCTTCACTGTTTTTTTTTTTTTTTTTTTTCGTTTTTTTAAGTTTGTTTTGGAAATAACAGAAAAGATATTTATTGGCCAGGAAGTTGGTGCTGCTAAGACCGAGAAATTTAAAGAATCGGACAGATGGACGCAGAGAACCAGAGGGCAGTGTGGGACCTTCTCTTGCCATGGCCTCAGGTCTTGAGGGAAGGCTCAGGCCTGGGTTTCTGGACTGCAAAGGGGACCCCCAGGTGGGAGGGGCAGGAAGCAGCCGGAGTGAGCCCTTCGCCCCTGAGTGCCTGGCTCGCACCTCGAGCTGTGCCCCGGGCATCACTGAGCAGAGGGGTGCGGCAGCTTCAGGAGGCAGAAATGAGAGGGGCGGGAGATCCACAGGACCAAAGGGTGCAGTGATGGGCTGGATGGCGGGCCCAGGGAAACGGGGTGGGGATGGGCTGGGTAAGACCTGGCCCTCCCCTGCTGCCCTGAAGACCACCCCAGTCTACCTCGGTGCTGGCCAGGAAACCTTTCGGCTACCTCTCCCACCATGCCAGACTGTGGGCAGGGGGATGGGGAGGGAGTGGGCCTGGGGCTGGGACCTCCCTCCAGAATTTCCTCCAGATGGGGGCAGTGCCCAGGGAGGGGTTATTTGTCTTCCCTGCCATGGAGTGAGAATCCCCAGCCGAGGCCCTAGGCCCCTCAGCAGGGAAGGGATCCTCGGGGAGGCAGGTCCCAGGAGCAGACCCTGCCCCCAGCCCCCACAGACACACCCCAATCTGAAAGCCATGCGTGTCCGTGTATATAGGAACCATGTACAGAGCCCGGAGAAGCCCCCTACATCCCCCCGGGAAAAAAAAAGAAAACTAGACAGAAACTCATCTATATATTCTGTATCTGGAGTTCCGTTTTGAATATTAACTGTGTTATTTTTATACACTTTTTAAGCCTTAACTCGCCATTGATTTACCAGTTTAACGTTTCCTGGGGTTTCTTTTCCCATGGGGTTCTCTGCCCCCACCCCCAGCCCTTTGTTTGACTTGCGTCGTCTGATACTCAGTATTGTAGCTTTTTGTCCGCATGTTACTCCCTGTAAATACGCTGTTATACATACTGTTAACACCCCTTTGCTTTTTCTATGGGACCTCCAGGCCACCATATTTAGAACTAGTTACCTTATTAAAAAAGAAAAAACAGTCTGTTGGCTTCTCAGTCTGCATCTTGGAGGCAGGGAGGTGAGGGCTGGTGCCCCTCAGACACTTCAGGAAGGTAGTTTGCATTCTATTTAAAAAAGGGGGTGGGGAGCAAATGAAAATCAAATGTAGGGGGAAAACACTAAAGGGGGCAAGAAACAAAGGAATTACAATCCCTCTGCTCTTTGTATTTCTCTGTTGTGAAGAATAAACTGTACCTGCACCCGGGTGGCAGTGGTGTTTGGCGTGCTCTGTGCGAGGGCAGGGCTGGGGGGCACCTTTCCATTGCTCCTCTCCCCTCCCCCGCCCCCCAGACTTGGAGAAGGAAGGAAGTGGCCTCCCTGTGGGCTGGCCTCACTCCAGGTGCTGAACTGAGTGCTTTATGTTGATTGCCTCACAACTCCCTAAGAAGTGGGCAGCAAACCAAGAGAGGCTCTTTGCTAAGGATCATGCTGCAGTATAGTGGCAGTGATATAAATTGACCCAGCATTACCCAGTTCTGGAGCCTTTTTGGATGTATTAGGTCTACCAGTAAGTCTCACTTCCACTGCTCCCTGAGGGGCACCCCACCCATCTATGGGGGTCCATCATGAGTGCCTGATTTGTGGAAGTGATTCTAGGGATTGGAGGGGAAGTCCAAGATGTCCTTGTCATATATTTTTTTTCCCATGGGGGTCAATGTTTTGACTGCCTAGGAAGGAAATTTAGTAATTAATTCCCCAAAAGTTTATCAAGTCTGGCCCTGTGGAAGCACTGTGAGGGAGAGAGAAGTGACTACCATGGAGGTCATCATCGGGAACTAATTTCCCTGAGTCCTCACAGTCCCCATGTGTCCAGACTTGGCTGCAAAATGATAGAAAGTCCAATCCAAACAAGGATGTATTGGTTTATGTAACAGGACAGTGGTCAGGCCACCTTCAGGACTCAAAGGATGTGTCTCTAGCTCTCCACTCTGTTCTGAGTCAGCTTCAGCCTGAGGCTCCTGTGGGGTCAGCAGTTCTAGTCTTACAGTCCCCAGGTTTCCAGCAATCAAGCCTCTGTCTCTCTGACAAAAGCCTCAGTGTCTTCATCCATTTTATGCTGCTATAACAGTATATCACGAACTCGGTAATTTATAATGAAAAGAAATTTCATTCTGTTCATGATAAATTCCAGTCTCATAGTTCTGGAGGTTGGGAAGTCCAAGAGCATGGTGCCAGCATCTGGTGAGGGCCTTCATGCCATGTCATCTCATGCCAGAAGACAGAAGAGCAAGAGAGGGTGAGGCCAGGCTTGGTGGCTCATGCTTGTAATCTCAGCACTTTGGGAAGTCAAAGCAGGAGGATCACTTGAGTCCAGGAGTTTGAGGCCAGCCTGGGCAACATAGGGAGACCTTGTCTCTACAAAAAAACCAAAACCAAACAAACAAAAAAACAAAGCCAGGTATGGTGCTGCATGCGCCTGTAGTCCCAGCTACTTCAGAGGCTGAGGTGAGAGGATTGCTTGAGCCTGGGAGGTCAGGGCTGCGGGGAGCCGTGATTGCACCATTTGCACTCCAGACTGGGAGACAGAACAAGATCCATCTCAAAAAGAGGTTGAGAGTGAGAAAAATGGAACTTGAAGCCTCATATCCTTTTATAATCAGCATTAATCCATTCATGAGGGTGGAGCCCTCATGACCCAACACCTCCCACTAGGCTTCAGCTCCCAGCACTGTTGCACTGGGGGTTGTTTCCAACACGTGTTTTTTTGGGGGGCCACATTCAAACCATAGCGCCCAGCAAGTCTAATTGGGTCTTCCTGGTTCTAACTGGATCATGTTGTGTGCTTGTTTTGCTTGGGTCTAGGGCCCATGCTCTCAGCCTGGAGTACAGGGTGCAGCCCTCACGTGCTTCACTTTCTGAAGCCCAAGAGGTTCCACTAAGAGGAAACCAGAGTGTGTTACTAGCAGAAGAGGAAATGAATGTGTTGTAGCCAAGAACCAGCATATTTTCAGTAATGTCAGGGGCCTCATCTCTTTCTCTGAAATTGACCTCCCATAGCCTGCTTTGCCATGAAAGGATGGGCTCTGGCAGCCATATTTGTGTCACATGACCCCATTGTAGCCACAGCCGATTGGCCAGGGTGGACAACTGACTCAGAGACTTGATACATAGGTGCAGCCAGTGGTGCATAATGGCTGTCCTGATTCATGTGAGAAAATCGTGCACACCTCTTCCAAGCTCTGCATTCAGTGAGTATGGGTAGCTTGAAATCAGCCACGGTGGGATTTACACCATGGATATTGGCAAACACTATAAATCAGGGCTTTCTTTTTCCCCAGTCAACTGCTAGACATATACCAGCACACCACTGGATGGAGCTGACTCTCCTTGTCAGATTCTCTGTTACTTGAATTAGGAACAAGTTAGGAGATGGTGGGTACCTTAACTGGAAAACCCTATAGACTGTGGTTTGGGGTGACTGTGTTGAGCTGGATACAAGCAGAAGAACAAAGCCAGCAGAGAAAGAGCAGAAATGGACCAAGGAGACCAAGAACTAGTGGTAACCTCTGTTCCTGTCAGAACCTTCATCCTCTGGCTATGTTTAATTTCCTGTTTGTTCTCACTTCAGTGAATTTAAGTTGCTAGTGGTATGACATTGCATTAGTTACTAAATCTGTGCCTGATTTCCTCATATGTAAAATGAGGTAAACAGTAGTAACCAACTTACAGTGTGGATGTGAGTATTAAATGAATCAATACCTGTCTAATGTTTAGAACTGGCACATTGTAAGACCCAATATATGTCCATATCCTTATTGCTGTTATTTGCCTTCGCCCTAAGCGATCTATAATCCTTAGGATCAATGATCCCTGACTAAGAGAGCTGAAGATGTTTGGGAATTCCTAGGGGTGGCATTTGAGCTTGCATGGCAAGGTGGGGTGGCTGGGACAGGTGGAGATTTTGCATGTAACAGTGATGCTCAGGGGACTGAGTCTGATTTTCACCTGCTCACGTGGGGAGTGTGTGAGTGCCACCGTCCCTGGGGGAGCCTCAGGACAGGTGCTGAGGACAGTGTTGATGGTAATGGAGACAGCTGCAGAAGGAGCTTTAGCCCTCTTGTTATTCCTGCTTCAGATCCAAGTCCCTCCGTGCCCACCCCTGCAACCCCTCCTTAGGTCTCTGGGTGCACTAGGAGGGGAGCCATTCCCAAGGGTTGCCTGCCCTGCAGCTTCCCGGAACCCCTCCCTCCTCAAGAAGATCTCCAACAGCGCAAGGCTGCCTCCAGCCCACGCCTTGGAAGCTCCTGAGCACTCCATTTATTCCCCTTTTAAAACAGAAATGACTGGCTGGGTGCAGTGGCTCATGCCTGGAATCCCAGCACTTCGGGAGGCCAAGGCAAGTGGATCCTTTGAGCCCAGGAGTTTGAGACCAGCCTGGGCAACATGGTGAAACCCTGCCTCTACAAAAAACAAACAAAAAGCCTGGTGTGGTGGTGCATGCCTGTAGTCCCAGCTACTTGGGAGGCTGAGGTGGGAGGATCACCGGAGCCCAGGGATGTTGAGGCTGCAGTGAGCCATGATCACATCCACTGCACTCCAGCCTGGGCAACAGAGTGAGATGCTGTCTCAAAAACAAACAAAAAACAGGAAATGACTGTTCTTTGGCAAATCCTTGGCACTCTCTGAACATGCTGGAGAAGGGGGAGGCAGGGAGAGGAAGGCAAGTTACGTTTTCTAGAGCACCACCACAACCCCTGCAGGGAGGGAGACGGCATCCACATTTCACGCATGAGAAGACTGAGGCCGGCAAAGGTAAGGAACTTGTCTACCCACACACAGTTAGAAGAAGAGCCGGTTCACATCATCTCTTACTGGCTCATGCTCAGGTATTGAATGGCCCAGCAATTGTTAGGGTCTGCAGCAATTGTCAGGGTCTGCAGCAATCGTTAGGGTCTGCATGTGTGGCCCTGAGTGAATGTTGCAGGGTAAGGTGAAGGACACACATCTTCCCCAGCTCACAGTCAGAAAATAGCCTTTTTTTTTGAGATGGAGTCTCACACTGTTGTCCGGGCTGGATGGAGTGCAGTGGCATGATCTTGGCTCACTGCAACTTCCGCCTCCTGGGTTCAAGTGATTTTCATGCCTCAGCCTCCCGAGTAGCTGGGATTACAGGTGCCCACCGCCACACCTGGCTAATTTTTGTATTTTTAGTAGAGACAGGGTTTCATCATGCTGGCCAGGCTGGTCTTGAACTCCTGACTTCGTGATCCACCCGCCTTGGCCTCCCAAAGTGCTGCAATTACAGGTGTGAGCCACTGCGCCCGGCCAAATTGCCTGTTCTGACACACCTGGCCCATTCTCATCTCTAGTCCTGAGTCCAGAAGGCCTTCTGGGTTTTGCTAATCTAGTTTATATCAGAGACATTTTGAACTGCTTTTGAGAGGATAGATCTCTCTCACCATCAATGGCTGGGCCTGGTAAATAGCAAGAATTGCTGCCCTACCTGTGAGTGGAGGCTATTAAAATGATAATACTACATAAAAGATTCAGGAGAGCCAGGGTGAACTCCCAGTCTCCCAGGGCCCCAGTTTTCCCAAATGTCAGACAAAATCTCAGGGACTTCAGCAGCTACCTTCCCTATCTCCTTGGCTCTGTGACCACCTTCCTGGGAGGGTCTGACGCCTTCACACTCCTATTCAGAGCCTGTGTTTCCCCACTGGGGATCAGAAGTCTAGACAGCTGCCGTGGATGTGGAAACTTCCCTCCCAGATACTGTGGCTGAATGTCAACCTGTTATAGCCCTGAGGCCAGAAAATGTCATTTTGGACTTCGACTGTCTAGGAGAAAAGGCCACAATAACAATTTGGGAACGTCAACTAAAGAATAAAAGCAAGTTTTTAAATAATTAAAGTTAGTGTTATTTAGAAGTCTTATTGAGGACCATCGATCAAGGCCTAAGGCTCAGGAGGAGCTCTTTAGAGAGGTTCTATCAGATGCTTTGAATGTAGTATTTTATTTATTTTATGGTGACAAAGTCTTGCTCTGTTGCTCAGGCTGGAGGGCAGTGGTGCGATCTTGGCTCACTGCAACCTTCGCCTCCCGGGTTCGAGCGATTCTCGTGCCTCAGCCTCCCGAGTAGCTGGGATTACAGGTGTGCGTCACCAACTCTGCTAATTTTTGTATTTTTAGTAGAGATGGGGTTTCATCGTGTTGGCCACGCTGGTCTCAGACTCCTGACCTCAAGTGATCTGTGTGTGTCAGCCTCCCAAAGTGCTGGGATTACAGGCATAAGCCACTATGCCCAGCCTGAATGTGGTATTTTAGTTTAGATATAGGTGGTGAAGCTTTAGTATGCGTAAAATTGTATCTAAGTTTGTGTGTAAGAGTGTATCTGGTTATAGTTTATAGAAGCATGATCACTAACCCCGATTGACATTATCTTATATGGAGATATATCTAGAGTCACTTATTTTTTCAGGGAATATAGTGACTCCGGCAAGGGACGTGGGGAGCTGTGTTTTTTGTTTTGACATCTATATGCTGTCCCAGTCAGGGTTTTGTGAAATTATGCTGGCAAAGGAAAGGAGCAAACATGGCTTCTTATGTTTGCTACTTTGTCTCACAGTACAGGAATAATTTATCATAATATTACTGAAATATGTACAAACCATGCTTATGGGCAGGGGAGGTAAAAGGGCAGAGCCAATGATGGGGTGCCACCTGTATTTCTTCCTGTGGCTCCTGCCCAGAGACAGCCCGAGGGGCCAGCCACGCCTCTCCAGCCGCTGACATCACAGGGACTCAGACCCTCTGTGTCCTTGGGCAGTTATGTTTCCTCTTTGTGTCTCAGTCTCCTCATTTAAAAAGTGGGGGTGCAGATGGGACTAAAACATCTCCAGAGGCACCAGCTGCATTCTGCAGGCTCAGGGGTGAAAGGTCTACAGGCTGATCGCTCGAGGCATTACTGCAGTTGTGCCTTGCTCACTGCTAAGCTAAGGGAAGGGGATTTTTCTCTTGAACCGAGGAGCTCCCCAAAGGCGAGGAGCTCCTCCTCCTACTCCCACTCCCACGGACGGGCACACACGAAGCGGGTAGGGCTTTTGCATCCAGTATCTCTCTGCCCTCCAGAGCGCCATCAGCGTCCAGAAGGGCCCCGCCCGGTTTCAGGATCTCTTCCTCTCGTGACTCCCACTCCATACCCTCCCCAGGCCAAAGACGCCCGGAGCGGGAGCTGGGCCGGGCCGGCTGGGCCTGCGGAGGAGTCGGAGGGCCAGGAGCCGGCGGCGGCGGCACTAGTCCCGCAGCAGCCGGTACTCCTTGGGCGCCCAGAGCAGTCGTGGGCGGCGGATCTCGGCCCGCCGGCCGAGGTCCGGGCTCCAGCAGAACTCGGGCGACAGCACCTTGGCGGGCTTGTGCAGCCAGAAGAACTTGTTGAGGTGGCTCTCGTCGTGCCAGCGCGCCTCCAGGCCGCGCGCGCGGTCCCAGGCCAGGCCCCGCGCACAGTGCGCCGTCAGGTCGCGCAGCGCCGCCACGCTGCCGCCGAACACCGCCGCGTGGTAGTAAAAGTCGCCCTCGCCCCGCGCCATCGCGGCGGCCGAATGCGCGTCGCGCTCGAAGGGCAGCAGCCACCGCGGCCAGTGGTAGTGCCAGGAGTGCAGCTGCGCCACCGACTCGGCCAGCGCCTCGGGCCCAAAGGTGCTGCTAAAGTGCTGGTCCACGTCCATGCAGAACACGAAGTGCGCCTCGCGGCCCAGCCGCCCGCCCAGCGCCGCGTGCAACGTGCGCATGCGCGCCATAGACACGTCCTGCCAGCGCCGCTCGCGCACCACGAGCTCCACGCGCAGCCGCCGTCCCGGGCCCAGCGCCACGCGGGGCACCGCTCCTGGCCGCTCGGTGAACACGTAGTACACCACGCTCTGGCCCGCCATGAAGTGCTGCTCCGCGGTCTCCAGGAAGCGCTCCAGGTACTTCTCCAGGTACCTAAGGGCGCGGCGCCACGGTCAGCCTGAGAGTGAAGCGAGGAGGGACCGGCTTCCCCACTCTCACCCCCAGCCCACCCCACCCCACCCAGCCCCACCCACCTCACCCCCACCACCCTTACCCCCACTATCCACGCTGCCCACCCGTCACCCCACATTCCCCAACCCAGGTCTCACCCACCCGTCACCCCTACCTCACACCACCCAACCCTCACCGCCACCTAACGTCACCCCACTCCAGCCTCCACCCCTACCGCGTAGCGGCTCAGCGCCGAGCCCGAACGGCCAAGTTCCCCGCCGCCTCACCCCCCCGCCCCACCCAGCCCACCCTCTTCTCACGGGACCCGAAGCCTGCACCCCACCTCACTCCCACCCCAACCTCACTTCACCTCACCCCTACTGCACCCCAACCTCACCCACCTCACCCCCTCCCCAACCTTACCCCCACCCCACCAGTGCTGCCTGGTCCTCCCCACACCCGGCCTTGGAACTCCAGACCCTCCAGTCCTAGCATCTTTCAACTTAGATGGGGCAGGGCGGGTTGGACTGAAGATGCTTGCAAATTGCCTGCCAATCCTGCCTCATACTGGCCCTTTGGAGGACTGGCAGCATTTCTCTCTTTAGAGCTCTGAGCCTCCATTTAAAAGTCCCAGAACTTGGGTGCTGCCGTGAGTGAGGAAGCCCAAGCCGGCCCCATCAGTCTTCAGCAGTTGGTCTCCCAGCTGAGACCCAGGTATTTGGGAGCATGAGAAGACGAGCCCTTCCTGCTGAGGCCTGTCTGAATTACTGACACACAGAACTATTATTATTATTGAGATAGAGTTTTGCTCCTGTTGCCCAGGCTGGAGTGCAGTGGCGCCATCTCAGCCCACTACAACCTCTGCCTCCTGGCTTCAAGTGATTCTCCTGCCTCAGGCTCCCGAGTAGCTGGGATTACAAGTGGCCACCACCATGTCCAGCTGATTTTTTGTATTTTTAGTAGAAGTGGGGTTTCACCAAGTTGGCCAGGCTGGTCTCGAACTCCTGACCTCAGGTGATCCACCTGCCTCGGCCTTCCAAAGTACTGGGATTACAGGCATAAGCTACTGCGCCTGGCCTTCCAAAGAATTATTTTATGAGCTATAATAATAAGCTGTTTTAAGTCACTGTCTTTCACTGTATAGATAACGAGGCCGCCTGGAATACCGTATGAACAGACCTTGGGATCCTAGCATTTTAAAATAATAGTAATAGTGCCTAATAATATTTTGAACTTTTATCGTGTGGCAGCCACTGCTTTCTAAGTCAATGTGCATTGTCTCATCTAAAGAGCTTTAGAAACTTGTATATGCCATTGGTAAGTGCTTGAGCCAGGATTTGAACCCAGCGTGGCCTTAGAACCTGTACTTTTACTTGCACTTGCTCTATTCCTGGTGACTGTGGGAAATGGGAATCAGAGACTTAGGCAATCTCAGCATCTAGGAGTGTTGGACTCAATCTTGGAGCTCAGGACCTCAGTATCCCAGAATTTTCTGTACCTTGAGATTGTCTGACCCCTAGGGCTGGGGCAGGAATGCCCTAGTCAGCATGGGTGATGGAAGTGGGAGCACCAAGGCCCTGGGAGAGGTCAAGGCCCAAGTAGCCCAGCAGTTCTGCGCACCTGGTCCACGGATCAGCCCTTGGTGCTTTTCAGCCCCTTGCCTGTCAGTGGCACTCCTCGCTTTCTCTCCCTTGTAGGGTGTAGGGGACAGAGTTCGAGGAGCCTTGAACAGTTAGTTGTATGGGGTATCTGGTGACAAAATTCCTTACCCATCCTTTTGAGTATCTCTTCCTGAATGGGAGGTTCTCACCACCTTCCCAAAGCAACTAGTTCCATTTTTAGAAATGCTTCTTTTAGTTGCCTGAAACTAGGTTATGGGATCTGACTGCCATTGTCAGCCAAGAGTCCCCTTCGTGTCACTTGAGGAAGGTGGACACCCAGCTTAGACACTCCCTGTCATCCGTAGTGGGGAGGTCAGTGTTCCTGCCATTTCTTCTCTTGACCTCCTTTCCTGTAGTGATTCTGTCCTGTGCCCTCCACAGTCACCTGTGCCCTCCAGTCACCTGTGCCCTCCACAGTCACCTGTGCCCTCCAGTCACCTGTTCCCATGGCTACTCCCTGGACTTGGTCTTCACCAATGTCTGCCCCACTCTGTAGGGACCTCGTTCTTCTAGCTCACTTACTGTGATTACCATCCCCAACCCAAAACAGTCCTACCTCACTGAATCCTCTAATCTGGTGACCCTGCCACTTTCTCAGTATTTGTCACCCCCCTTCCTCTCTTCACTTCCCTCTGCCCAGTTCAGATTCACTCCCTTGCAATCCTTCAGCTCCCCAGCCCCTCTCCCTTCATCAGACTTGCTTGGCACCTGCCCCCCCCTCAAATCCTGTGTACGTGCACCTGAGCTGCTGACCTCCAATGGGCCCCTACTGCAGTGAATCATCCCTCTACTTACCCAGTCACACTCCCCTCCTCTCACCACTCTCACCTGAAAGGCACCATCATTTTCTCACTACAAAACCAGTGTCTCCAGGTGGATCAGCCCCAGCCCCTAGGCAGGTCCCTTCCAGATGTGGTTCTAGAACAGCCCTGGCTGCCTGTGTTGGGTGGGCTCTATGGTGTTGGTGTCCAGGGAGGAGGAGAAGGGTGGTCGGTCCTGTGCTCACCTGGGGGTGTGGGGCAAGAAGTGCTGTCTTTGCTTCTCGCTTCACTTTGGGATCCCATGGCACAGGGGAGCAGGGTCCCCACTCCCTCCATCACATGCACACCCTTCCCACTCACAGCCTTGACAGCACTGCTCCCCTTCCCAGGCCTTACCTGCCTACAGCAAAGACAGTCAGCCCAATGGTGAGGTTCTGCTGTGTAGCCTCTTGCTTGGCCACATCTGGGTCGAAAGTGCCATCCCAAATAATGGGAGCCCCCCAGGGGGTACAGGTCAGAACTTCAGGCCGGGCCCTGGCCAGGGCAGGGATGGGAAATAGCTCCATTCATCCACCCACTTGGTGCATGTTCACTGCCACCTCCCCAGTGGTGAGCCCTAGGGACCCATAGACCGATGAGACCTAGTTGCTGCCCCTGGAAGCCTCCAGCTCAGAGCAACACAGAGGACTGGAAGACGTGTGACCCGATGAGGCTGCTGGGCTTGGTGGCAGAGTGCCTGGCTCTGCTGGGGTGGGAGATGTGTGGAGGGCAGGGACATGGGGCAGAGCTCCGTAGGGTTTGGGAGTGCCCTTGGAGTAGGAGGGATGGGAGCTTCTTACCAGGGACGCAGGGCACCTGTGAAGTTGTCTCTCAGCAGGGACATTGTGGCGGAAGGGCAGACGCCCATGGGGATGAGGGCTTCCAGATGCCTGTGGCGGTGGCGGGAGGGGGGGCGCCGTGAGAAGCATGTCAGCCTGGCCAGGAGCCCTCTGGCTTTGCTTCTTACAAGGAGAGAGAGCTCACCAGGACACTTGAGGTGAGCTAGCTTCTGCCCTCCATCCCTCAAGGAGGCCCTTAGACAGATCCCCTTTAAATGTGACTCTGTGGTCCCACCTCAAGTGCTGGGGAAAGGGGCTTGTACCTGAATTTAGGGAGGCCATACAGAAACAGGCCTAAGAGGCCAAGTGCAAGTAGGATCTGCCGCCAGAAGATTCTCTTCCAGGCCCTGGGGGCGGGAAGGGGGCATCAGTAACTCATTTGTATTATAGACAAATGTTTATATGCACACATACATGAAAAGTCTTTCCTACTTCTGGCCACCCAGTTCCTCTGCATGAAGGTAGCCAGTGTTACCAGTTTCTTGTACAGGGGCATGAACTTGGGCAGGTTGGGGGGATAATAACATTAGGGGTTGGGGTACTTCTCCTGGGTGGAAGGTAGGACTGACCTTGGACAGGAGAGGCCAGGAGAGGATGCACAGGTGTTTGTGGCTCCGTGACTGGGAGTGGTTTGTTTGTTTGTTTGTTTTGTTTTTTTTTAAGAGACAGCCTCACTCTGTCACCCAGGCTGGAGTGTTGTGGTGTGATCACAGCTCACTGCAGCCTTGAACTCCTGGGCTCAAGCTCTCCTCCCGCCTCAGCCTCCTGTGTAGCTGGAACTATAGACACCTAATTTTTTTGTTTTTTTTTTTAAGAGATGGGGTCTTGCTATGTTGCCCAGGCTTGTCTCCACCATGGCTCAAGGAATCTTCCCGTGTCAGTCACTGGGAGTTAAGAGCTGTCTGGGACTTAGAGAAGAGTTACTGGGCTGGCTGTGGTCAGAGACCAGGTGTCTGTGGTGGCTGCAGTCACCAGGCCAGGTGAACTCCTCCAAGCAGAGCTCAGCAGCCCACTTCCTGGCTCAAAAGAGGTGGCCTTTGGGATTTGTCCACAGTTCATTGTTTTCGGGGAAGGGCCCCAAATGCTGAGAATCTTAATAAGCTCCTTCTGGGGAGCTCGCTCCTTGTCCTCCCACCTTCCTGAGTACTCACATATCTAGAGCAACTGCAGCCACACAGTAAGGAGCACAGACACAGGGGCCAGAGCCCTGGGTTCGAATCCCAGCTCCACCATTCATTAGCTGTCTGACCCTGGGGCAAGGTCTGGTCCTCTGCACATTAGTCTCATCTATAGGATGGGGTAATAACATCTGCCTTAGGGCTGTCATTGCCTTCACACAAGCTAATTGATGAGAACAAGGTCTCTCATGTTGCGATAGTTCACTCAGCTTTAGTTAGTGATGACCATTCTTCCTGAACACACCCTGATCATGCCCTGGGCAGCCTCCTCACTCCACTCCCATCCATCCTTCCTTCCTCCCTTCCTTTTTTTTTTTTTTCCTGAGACGGAGTCTCACTCTGTAGCCCAGGCTAGCGTGCAATGGCACAATCTCAGCTCACTGCAACCTCTGCCTCCTGGGTTCAAGTGATTCTCCTTCCTCAGCCTCCCGAATAGCTGGGATTACAGGTGCCCACCACCTTGCCTGGCTAATTTTTGTATTTTTAGTAGAGATGTGGCTTCGCCATGTTGGCCAGGCTGGTCTCCTGACCTCAGGTGATCCACCCACCTTGGCCTCCCAAAGTGCTAGGATTACAGGCATGAGCCACCGTGCCTGGCCTACAAATCCTTTCAAAACCTGGCTCCCCTGGTCTGTTTCAAGAAGCCTGCCAACCTCAGACCCTCCTGCCCCTGCCTCTCCTGCTGCCCCACATAACTGTTCCTTAGCAGATGTGTCTAGTAAAGAGTGCCGCGAACTGCCTTGCAGGTGTGTGGATCCACCTGGGCACTGTCTCCGAGCACAGCCCCTCCTCCAGTTCACTGCGCCAAGCCAGACACCTGGGTGCACCCCGACCCCTCCTGCTCTGCACCTGCTGTCTGCTTTCAGTCCCAGGTTGACCTGGTCTCCTTGATCTCTGCTCCTCCTGCTTTTCCCCATGCCCCACAGTGACCCTGGCCTGCTCCTCTGTCACGGGATCATTGCAGCAGCACTCTTCATGCTCCTGGTCACTTCCTCCACAGCCCCAGAGTCATCTCATAACAAGTCAACCTGCCTTAACAGTTTCCACGTCACACAAACAGGTAAATCCTCAAAGAAGAAGTGCATTTAGTAGGCAAATATATGGAAAAATGTTCACCCTCACTGGTAATCAAAGATATACAAATTAGAACAAGGTGGTATGTTTTGCCTAAAAAATGAGCACTTTAAAAAAAAGACATAATGGGGCTGGGAGGGGCTTGTGCATGTAATCCCAGTGTTTTGGGAGGTCAAGGCAGGAGAATTGCTTGAGGCCAGGAGTTCAAGATCAGCCTGGGCAACAGAGCAAGACCTTGCCTCTGCGAAAAATTAAAAAATTAGCCAGAGTTGGGCGCAGTGGCTCATGCCTGTAATCCCAGCACTTGGGGAGGCCAAGCGAGTGGATCACGAGGTCAAGCGATCGAGACCATCCTGGCCAACATGGGGAAACCCTGTCCCTACTAAAAATACAAAAATTAACTGGCCGTGGTGGCGCGCATCTGTAGTCCCACCTACTCGGGTGGCTGAGGCAGGAGAATCACTTGAACTTGGGAGGCGGAGGTTGCAGTGAGCTGAGATTGCGCCACTGCAGTCCAGCCTGGCGACAGAGCAAGACCCTGTCTCAAAAAAAAAAAAAAATTAGCCAGATGGTATGCACCTGTAGTTCCAGCTCTTCAGGAGGCTGAGGCAGGAAGATCACTTGAGCCCAGGAGTTACAGGTTACAGTGAACTATGATCATGCCTCATGCCACCGGACTCTAGCCTGGGTGACAGAGGTAGACTCTGTCTTGATTTAAAAAATAAAAGGCATAATGAGAATAGCCAAGCTGCAAGAATGCAGTGAGATTGGCACTGTTACACTTGCTGGTGGGAGTGTAAATTGCTACAGCCTTTTGGAAAGCTACTTAGCTATGGGAATTGAAAGTGTTCAATATTCATCCACTTTGATTCAGTAATTCCCAGCTTCTGGGAATCTGTTCAAAGGAGATAATCTTCAGAATGAGAAAAGTTTATGTATCAAGATGTTCATCAGTTTCTGTTAAGTCGTGCATTCACCATCTATTTATTGGACACAAGCTCAGCATTGAGCACTGTGCTAAGTCAGGGATTCAGAGGGGAATGGGACACAGACCCTGTCTTCAGGGTGCGGAGGCAGGAAGATGTGGGTGTAGTGGGTGAGGGAGTGGGTCACATGACAGACTGAAAACAGATGCGTGGAACACGGCACAATGAATGCTGTGATTGGGAGCAATGCCGGGTGCTGTGAGGCAAATTGGAGGGTAGCACCTGAGCCTTGGTAGATGAAGAGGTCGTTGGGGCCTCCTGGAGGAGGAGTTACTTCTAAGCTAGGACCTAAAAAATTATTAATAGAAGTTCTTCAGGTGAAGAAGGCATAGAGGGGGAAGAGAGGTCCGTGGAAAAGAAACAACAGTGTGCAAAAGTGAGGAAGCCTCACTTCTGGAACGTCTGTGGAACTGCAGGGTGGAGGGTAGTAGCAGATGAGAAGGGAGGGATGAGGCTGCAGAGGTGAGCTGGGGCCAAGTCACCCGGGGCCCGCATTGTAGGCCCGGGGAATTGGACTTCATCTTCAGGGTCATGGGGAGCCCTGAAAGGTATTTCCTCTGGGGAGTGTCAGTCAGATTTTTATTTGGGGAAAAAAAAAAAAAAACCCCACAAACCCTGAAGTAGTCCAGCTGAAATCTGGAGCCTGGCCATGGTGGGGTGGCAGGGAGGAGACTGCTGGAGGCAGGAAGATGAGTTAGGTGCCAGCCCCTGGGAGGTATTAGGGGCAACACCAGGGAGTTGGCAGCTGGATGGAGAGGAATAGGTGGTGAGGGGCTGTCAGGGAGGGCATGTGGGCCAGACTTGGCCATGGATTAGAGGGACGGGGCTGGGGGACCAGAAAGGAGAAGATGCCTGGTTGTTTGGTTGGAGGAAGGGGGCTGGAGCCAGAAGGCAGGCAGGCTCAGGAGAAAGTTCTGGGATTTACCAGGAGGGCAGGGATGTCATGGGGGAGAGGGAGAGAGTACAGAGGGAGAGGAGGCCAGGGCCCAGGTGGGAGTGGGAGGAAGACTGAGCAGGTAGAGGACTTAAGGACAGGCACATGGGTTGGGTGGGAGTGGGGCTGTCTTTCCAGAAGTCGGGCTGTAAGGAGGAAAGAGATGGGGTGGCAACTGGAGGGGACGGGGTGGTTGTATGGATGGGTGCGTGCTTGTTTCGCTTACACAAGCAAGACCTGAGCTTGGTCGAATACTGCCTGGAAAGCACCCTTGGAGAAGGCATTTTGGGTCACAGGGAGAGGCATTATCTGAGCTGCTCAAATATAACTGAAGAAGGCTCTAGTGTCCAGCCGAAGGGACTGGCTAAATAAATGTATTAGGAGGACTCTGCAGTCACATAGAAAAATTCTCACACAGGAACATTAAAGGAAGAAAGCAGGATCTAAAATTGATGTGCACTCTGATTACAATTAGCAAGAATAAAAACATGCACCAGAAAATAAGACTAAAAGGAAGAATATTTGTGCAATAAAATTAGTTTCTTATTTTCTCTCTAATTGTCTTTAATGTATTTACAGTATGTTGCTTCTTTAATGAAGGAAAAATTCAAAGTTAGCAATTTACACACACAAAAAGTTTAAGTTATTTTGTGGCTTCTTGCTGACTGCAGTACACCGTCCACATCTCTTAACCATGCCTGAGAAGCCTTCCAAGTCCAGCCCCTTCGCTGTAACACTCAGTGCCCACAGCCCCTGGCCAGCTTGCCTGCAGCTAGGTATGGAGACTCTACGGTGACTAGTCCCAGGATGTTCCTGTAGCCTTCTCTGAAAAAGCAAACTAATGCAACAACCTCAGGGTTCGTTAGTAGGGAACTGGACGAATGAATTAGGCATATCTGTACAGGTTGGTTATCCTTTATCCAAAAGTTTGTACCAAAAGTGTTTTGGATTTTGGACTTTTTTGGAGTTTTGAATATTTGCATTGTATTTACTGACTAAGTATCCCTAATCTGGAAATCTGAAATTCTGAATGCTCCAGTGGGAGCATTTCCTTTGAATGTCCTGTCGGTGCTCAAAAAGTTTCGGATTTTAGAGCGTTTGGGATTTCAGATTTTTGGATGGGGGTACTCAACTTGTGTAATGGAGATCAGCATGGCTATTGAAAAGGGTGAGGT